CCGCAGTCGATACCGCTAGTAGCTATGTACCCGGAAGTCTCGTCTTTCGGTGGTAAGCGCATTCTTTTTCTTCCCCCCTTCTCCTGCTTGGCGTTGTCGAGACGCCGATAGCTCGCAATGTCGTTTCGCGAGAGCTTCCCGTTTCTGTTCCCTCTTGCTTTCTCATTTCCCGGCTCGTGTGCCGGCCCCGGTGTATATACAGTATATATATACGCACACACACACATACACACGACATATATATACCTTTTCCGCGAAGAAACGATACACACGCGGTCCGCCTTCCATTCACGTAAGTTTACTTACACCTATCCCGTCGGCTATCCATACCACCCTCGCCCACAAAGAGGATTCGTGCCACGATCAATATGGGGGTTGGTACCTCTAGGGAGAGGACGAAGAGAAGGAAGGAGGTGGGGTGGGTAGGAGGAGCTGCGGGTATACCGTAGATATATAGACTTTGTAGTGTTAGGGACGACTTGGTCCGCAAGCAGGCAGGCAGGCAAGCAACTTGGCAAGCAGCAGCAGGCACCGAAGTACAGTCAAGGTGGGGTGGGTGGCTCTTTCGAGGGTAAGAGAGAGAGAGAGAGAGAGAGAACGGGAGGGTGGCAGACAGCGGAGGGATGGGGAACGGCGGCTTTGGCCGTGTGCATGGTATTGGGGTTGGCGGTCGCAGCCATGAGGGTGGTAAGTGAGTGAGCGACTCCTTCGCCACGGCGCCTCGTCTCGACTCAACCACCCTAACCTTACGGATATATCCCAAGCCACCGACCGACCGACCAACCACCCACCGTCTTCTCTCCCTTTCCCGCACTCGCTCTCACTCTCTCCGGCTCCTTCTCTTCTCTTCCCTTTTCTCCGTCGTCTCTCGCCCCCTCGCTGCCACTCGCGCGCTCTCACCCTACGTCGACCAAGCAACCAACTCACCCCCCCTTGTCCCCCATCCGCTTGCCTGCCTGCCTGCCTGCCTGCCTGTTTCCCTATTCCTCACTCCATCCTCTTCGTCGTGGCTAGGACCCTGAGAGAGAAGGTTACGAGCCAGAGTCGCGTCTCCCAAGACCCCGCAAACCCCAGCTGGTACAAGATTGCACCCAGTGGCTCTCAGCGTCGTCGTCGTCGTCGTCGTCGTTCTCGAAGGAACGCGGCGAAGGACGAGCGACGTCGAGAAATTGGGATTCCGTGCGGATCGGGACGATGCGATACCGGTTGACGGCGGGGGATACTCGTGGCTGACGGACATTGCGGGACTTTCGCGTCGCGACGAGAGACGTTCGACTAATGCGCCGCATGTCGCTGGATGTCCGACTGTCGGGCACGATGGAAACGTAAAGACAATGCTCTCCGCGCTTCGACTTTAGAGGATCGACGTCGCCGCGCCGGATGTCCGTGCGCGATCCGTGTTCTCAACACGGTTTATCGGAATTTACCGCTCGCCGCTCGAGATATCCCGCGCACGCCCCGCGACAACGCCGCGTAAATCTTAATTAAATGGAATGACCGCGATTCGCAGCGATCCCGCTCTTCGGACTCGACTTCCCTGAATAAATAAGCATCCGGCGGTACTGAATTATCCTGTCACTTGTCCCGCACGTTCGAACCCGCCTGAGAGCCGCGGTTTCTGAATATTCAACGCCGCAGTCGCGATTTTCGTTTCTGCGCGGCGGCCGATTAATTTAATTACCGAAATCACGCCTGCGTGCCACCAGCGGCAAAGATTCATGACGGAGTCTGGACTGCGAGCGCAATTTCGGTTAGGGGCGAGGAGGAGGAGGAGGAGGACGGTGGGACATGCCGCTCTCTCTCTCGCCGACTATATGGCGCGGCGCGCAGCTTACTCGCGGATGCATGGAATTTTTAATGATCGCGTTGGGCGGCGCGGAATGGTAATCGATTCCCAGAATCCGGCGCGTACGTGTCACTGGGTCAACCGGTGCATTCGTCATACCGGCAATTAGTACGAGCGCGAATTTTTATCACCATCGCGGCAACCAAATATATCCCGCACGTTTCGGGGCCCCGAGCCGATCTTTTTTGCATGGCTTATCGGAATCGATAGCCGCTCGACGAAAACAAGCCGGCCGCGCCGATATCATATTTCTACAGAGGCGAATCGGATTTTTTTTCACATAGAGACACAAGTTTTCGTTTGAATTACGCCCGGCGCAAATTTTAATAATAAAAAAGCGCACAGCGGTACAGTGTTCGCTTTTACGTACGACGATTTATTCGCGCCGCTGCACGCTGTGCTTCTCCACCGCGGATTGTCCCCGTCAAATTTTTCAACAGAAGACCGCGCTCTCGCAAATCGGACTTGCTCAAATTGGACGACGTATAAATAAAGCTCACACGCAGCGCCGCGAATCAGACAGAAATTCACAACGCTATGATTTATGGCGGTGTCATAAATAGCAAAGTTCCCTTTCTCCCACCGCGTTACTCGTTGTGTTCTCTCGCTGCGCTTTTTTTCCCCGTCTCTCTTTCCCTCTCACACACACACACACTCTCTCTCGTTCTCTTTTTCCCTCCGCGTCCATCCCCGGCGCGGCGCGGAGTCCCGCGGTGGAATTTGCATTTTTAAATTAACTCGCCTCTGTTTGCAGCTATCTCGGCTCGGCGGCGGCGGCGGCGCCGCACTGCTGCTGGGCTCTGCAATTTTATGCGGCAACGCGCGTGGACCGCGCCCCATCGCCACCGCGTATACACCATCTCCCGTCGCCGTCGTTCTTTCCTCCGCGGAAACACACAGGCGCTTCCACCACGTGATCGATAGTGCAACAGTTATCGTTATCGCGCCGACGAACTCGCGCGGCGTGAAAGGCTTCTATCCAAACTCGCGCGATGGAAACCGATGGAAACTGCCGGGCAGCCGAGAGATCCCGGTCTTTTTTCTTTTTTTTTCCAAACCAAATATACAGCTTTAGAAAAAATTGACAAGCATTTTCGAAAAACG